TGTCATAGCGCTACAGCGAGGGCACTGTGCGACAGCTGTCTCTTATACACATCTAGATGTGTATAAGAGACAGCTCTCTCTCTCCCCCCTCCCTCCCCTGTGTTGTGCATGAAGAGGTGGGGAATCCCGTTCACTCTCGGCAACTGTTTCTCTCTCTCATACCGACAGCGGTTTTGCGGGTATTCCATTCACGCTCAACCCAAAAACGAAACATACACCCCTCTCACCATCTCACACACACACACACACACACACACACACACACACACACACACGCACACGCACACACACACGCACACAGAGCGATGTTGTGCATGAAGAGGTGGATCTCTCTCTCACAGTTACACCTCTCTCTCTCTCCCTCACACACACATATGTGGGCACTTGCCGCTCAACCGGGCAACGTGGGCAACCTTGCATCTTCTTATGTACTCTCTCTCTCCCTCACACACAAATATGTGGGCACTTGCCGCTCAACCGGGCAACGTGGGCAACCTTGCATCTTCTTATGTATTGCCTATCTATCTAGGAAGATTTCCATGACCGGCCGGTCACTTGGGCGTGATGCCAGGGATACCCGGGCATGGGGAAAAAAAAAAAAAAAAATGGCGGCGGGGGTTTTCCGTGCTCTCCAAGAGGAGCCGAAATCCGGGCTCTTTTCTTTTTTTTGAGTGTTGGCTGTCAAGGGGGGGGGAGGGGAGTATAAATGAATTTTGAAGGGGCTAAAAGGGTTTAGCCTTAGTGTGATTTGGTTATTTTCTTTTTATCTTCAGTTCCGCGAGGAATTCTGTTGTGACCCTCAGCCAAAAGTTGTTTGTATTGCAATTCTACACAACATTTTTTTTTCCAGATTTTTATTTTTATTTTATTTTTTTGCGCTGGGGCTGCCTGGGTCCATGCGCGGGGGTTATGCCCAGCCGGTCACCCGGTTGCCAAACCGGGGGTGATGTCGGGACCTGGGCGGCCGGGGTATCTCCCTAGCTATCTATACCTTTTTTGTTTGATGGATGGTTTGTGATGATTTGTGGTTGGAATGAGGAGAAATTTGGGGATCTTTTAAAAATTGCATACTCACACACACACACACACACACACACACACACACACACACACACACACACAC